CTCAAGTAGAGAAAGTGTGAACCAGCTAAACAGTCCTTGTTTCATCTTTCAGCTACCCCCCTTTTTCTGTGCTGAAATATTTTATTTTTAAAAATATTTTTTGGGGCGCCTGGGTGGCTCAGTTGGTTAAGCGACTGCCTTCGGCTCAGGTCGTGATCCTGGAGTCCCGGGATCCAGTCCCACATTGGGCTCCCTGCTCAGCGGGTGGTCTGCTTCTCCCTCTGACCCTCTTCCCTCTCGTGCTCTCTCTCATTCTCTCTCTCTCAAATAAATAAATAAAATCTTTAAAATAAAAAATAAATAAAAATATTTTTTTTTATTTATCTGAGAGAGAGAGATCACAAGTAGGGGGGGCAAGCAGGAGGGGCAAAGGGAGAAGCAGACTTCCCGCTGAGCGGAAGCCTGACGCAGGGCTCGATCCCAGGACCCTGAGATCATGACCTGAGCCTCAGGCAGCCACTTAACTGACTCAGCCACCCAGCTGAGCTGAGTTTTCAGCTGAGCTGAATTTTAAAGAAAATTCTTTTTTTTTTTTAAAGATTTTATTTATTTATTTGAGAGAGAGAGAGATTGAGAGAATGAGTGGGAGGAGGAGCAGAGGGAGAAGCAGACTCCCTGCAGAGCAGGGAGCCCAGCATGGGACTTGATCCCGGGACCCTGAGATCATGACCTGAGCCGAAGGCAGACACCTAACCAACTGAGACACCCAGGTGCCCTTAAAGAAAATCCTAAAAGTTATGTTAACTTGTACAGAGACATTTCAATATGCATCTGTAACTGGTAAGGACTTTTTAAAAAATATAAAACCATCATGCTATCATTATACATAACATGGTATGTATTTTACATACATGTGTTTAATCTATAATATTAATATAAATAATTCCCTGAAATCATCTACTACCCATTTAATACTCATTCATATTTCCCTAAATATCGCAAAGATATCCTGTTATAGTTGGCTGTTTGAAAAAGGTTACACATACAGCTCATATGTTGCTTCTGGCTGTAATGCCTCTTTTTTCTCTTTTCCCCCCCTTTTTTCGTTCCATTGGTCTGTAGAAACTGTGTCATGAGTCAAATAGAATGTCCTGTTTTGTCGATTTGCTTGGTTGCTTCCTCATTAACTGGTTTTCTTTGGCCTGTTTTTCCTATAAAGTAGTAATTGGATCTAAATACTTGATTAGATTCAGACTAGATTTTTCAGGAAACAACATCTGGCAGATGATCCTGTGGACTTACTCTTGCACTGTGCAGCACAAGGAGGCGCAGGATCGCTGGCTGTCCCACTGCCGGCGACGCCAAGGAACATGAGTGGCTTCCAGTGCCATGGTCCTCATCCCACCGCGCTTTCCCCTAGGGGTTTAGAATTCGTTATTCCTGGTGTAGATCCGTTATGTCCTGAGGGGTAGCAAAATGGTTATTTTCTAATTCTGAAGAGCTCTGCAGAGAATAAAATCATAATATGCATAAAGAAATAGCTCTCGGGCGCCTGGGTGGCTCAGTTGGTTAAGCGACTGCCTTTGGCTCAGGTCATGATCCTGGAGTCCCGGGATCGAGTCCCGCATCGGGCTCCCTGCTCGGCAGGGAGTCTGCTTCTCCCTCTGACCCTCCCCCCTCTCATGTGCTCTCTCTCTCTCTCTCTCAAATAAATAAATAAATAAAATCTTAAAAAAAAAAAAAAAGAAATAGCTCTTGCATGTATTCAACTAAGCACAACTTAGAAGATATCATGGGAAAAAGAAACCATTGACTACAGTAGAAAAGAAGAATGCCTAGAAATACAGGAAACTTACAAAACTTGTGTGAGGAAACCTTTAAAATATTTCTCAAGGATGAAGGGTAGCTTTGAATAAATGGAAAAGAAATGGAAAGGCATCCCATGTTCCCAGACAGGTTGATAACAACATAACCGAGGTGTCTAACTCAGTGGCTCTGGGGTGGGGCCCGAGTTGTGAATCTCTTCAAGCCTGCCTTCCCCAGCATGGCCTGCTTTGTGCTTTTAGCAGTTCTCAAGGTGTGATCTCTGGACCAAGAGCATGAGCACCCCCTGAGAACTTGGTTACAAATGCAGATGCTCTTGCCTCACCCCACACCTACCAAATCAGACACTCTGGTCTCAGCAGTCTCCATGTTCACAAGCCCTCTGGAGGATTTTGACATGAGCTGAAAGTTTGAGAACCACTACCCTAGTGCTTCTAAAATTTAAGTTGTGGGGGGCGCCTGGGTGGCTCAGTCGTTAGGCATCTGCCTTCGGCTCAAGTTATGATCCCGGGGTCCTGGGATCAAGCCCCGCATCGGGCTCGGCGGGAAGCCTGCTTCTCCCTCTCCCACTCCCCCTGCTTGTGTTCCCTCTCTCGCTGTCTCTCTCTCTGTCAAATAAATAAATAAAAATCTTTAAAAAAAAAAATTTAAGTTGTGAAGAAATCACCTAAGGTCCTGTCAAATTGAAGATTTGATTCAACAGGTCTGGGATGGGGTCTGATTCTGCATTGTTAATAAACTCCCTCACGATGCTGATGGTCTGAAGACAACACTTTGAGGAGCAAGACTAGAAGAACAGTCTGTTTCTAGTTTACTCAAGGCCAACCTATCTTTGTACCCTCTGCTCCCATTTTGTTCTAGGTATTAATGACAAATCATATGTTACTTCTCTCAGTACTATGTTTATATTAAACAGAATTTAACCCACAGAAGTGTGTTCCTCTCAAAACAAATTTAGCCAGAAATAATTGCAAATTAATCTCAGGATTTGGTGGAGCAGTTTTGGGGAGACACTTATTCAGCATCTATTAAATTGTGCCATTGAGGATATACTGATAAATGGAATCTAGAGGAACAACTTAAGGAAATTTATGCATGAAGAGAATCTTTGTGTAAATCTATGTCTAAACCCAATTCGCCTCTACTTGCTCTCCCTTAATAAATTCTGATTTTCCTGTATTAGGTTTAGGCTACCTATTGCTTCATAGTCCCCCCAAATTTGGCGGTTTAAAGCAACAAACATTTATTTAAGCTCATGATTTTCTGGGTCAGGGATTTAGGCAAGATGCAGTAGGGAGTGCCCTATGATGTCTGCGGCCTCAGAAGGGGTGGCTCAAAAGTCTGGATGGCTGGGAAGTCTTCACTAGGACCATAGACCTGAGGTCTTTGTTCTGGCTGTTGGTTGGGTTCCCTGGTTCTTCTCCATGTCATGTCTGCTCAGGCTGTCTGGAATAGCTTCTTCACTAATGCGTCTGGCACCTAAGCTGGAATGACTGGGACAGCTGGGGCTGACCAGGCTCCTTTCTCTCTCTCTCTCTCTCTATCTCGCTCTCTCTCACTCTCCTGGTTGGCTTGACCTTCTTCAGAGCTTGGAGCTTTCAGGGTAATTGGACTTCTTGTCTGGTGGCTGGCTTCTGCCAGGCTGAGCATTGCCAGAGACAGGGCATAAGCTGCAACACTTACACAACCTGGCGGCACTTCTGCTACGTGCTATTGGTTCATGATTGGTCCTGGTTCATGCTACTGGGGAGAAGGGTAAGACTCCATCTTTCCATTGGAGCACTGAGCTGTATTACCATGGATGGGTTTTATTAAAGTGACACCCAGATGCACCAAAGATGCAGTGAAGTTGGTTTGGTTAGAATCAATGTAAATGGAAAAAAAAAAATGCTAGCTTTTTTTTTTTTTTTTAAAGATTTTATTTATTTGACAGAGAGAGACACAGCGAGAGAGGGAACACAAGCAGGGGGAGTGGGAGAGGGAGAAGCAGGCTTCCCGCAGAGCAGGGAGCCCGATGCGGGACTCGATCCCAGGACCCCGGGACCATGACCTGAGCCGAAGGCAGTCGCTTAACCAACTGAGCCACCCAGGCGCCCAAAAAAATGCTAGCTTTAAGAGCTTCTTTGAGAGACTGAAGAGAGCCTGTGGTTAGCATTTCTTCCTCACTGAGCCTTCAGTGATCTCACCTGGGTAACTTGAATCTGTGTCATAGAAATTGGCAAACACTTCAAATCAGGATTTTTTAAAGAGCCAGTTGTTAAATATTAATCACACACCATGTTTAAAATCAAAGTAATATATCAAATATATTGCAAATATATTGCAACTTTACATCCTCCACATTCCACTCTCCCACCTAAACACACACACACACACACACACACACACACACACACACCTGGGCCTGCTCTAAGCTCCCAAGGATATATTCCGGGTTTTAACACATTTAGGGTCCTTTCTTCAATTGGGGATAATGTTCCATGGTCATAAAGGGCTCATTCCCCGGATTCTCCAGCTAGGGGGCTCTTAGTGATATAAGGTGTGAGCCATGGCGTAAAATATAGTGCCTCCTCCTTACACACCAATTCCACTAAAAGATTTAGGGGGAACTTAAATATATACATAAACATATAAATATATACATATGTATGTATATATTTAAATGAACATATATGTTAGTAAATATGTATATATAAACTATACATATATGTCTATATTTAAAGTAATATGGGTATACTACATAATAGAATGCAAAATTTGCATTATTTCTAATAAACATAAAACTGCAAAACAGTTTTACACTAGCTTTGACAGTTTCCCCAAACCCGCAGTCAGGGCTGACTTACCCCTTCAGCACAGTAGGTACTATGCCTGGGGCCCGTGATACTTATAGGGGCTCACGAAAGTGTTTTTAATTTCTTTTAAAATCAGAAGAAAATAAATGAACCTTTGGGTTGAAAAAAATGTTGTTGTGTGTTTTTTTTTTTTAGATTTTATCTATTTATTTGAGAGAGAGAATGAGAGACAGAGAGCACGAGAGGGAAGCGGGTCAGAGGGAGAAGCAGACTCCCTGCTGAGCAGGGAGTCCGATGCGGGACTCGATCCCGGGACTCCAGGATCATGACCTGAGCCGAAGGCAGTCGCTCAACCAACTGAGCCACCCAGGCACCCCGAAAAAAATGTTTTAATATATAATATTAATATATTTGTCTTTATATGAATACAGTCATAAAGCGTGTGTGTATTTTTTTAATGTAGAAAGGGGTCCGTGAAGACAGAAGTGCCTATGGCCCCCAAAGCCATAACATAGCCCTGCCTGTAGGGACATACTTCCAGTGCACAGTGGAAACATGTGAAAAGCTCTGAATTTTAGGCATCGTATCCTTTCGATGTGTTATTCTTGAGAACTGCTGTCTTCAGATTCCAAGGAAACGAAGTCCAAATGGTAGAATTTCCTACGTCCTTGAAAGGCAATAGAATAGATTTGCGAGACAAGCATTTCCTGTGACTGCACTGCAGATCCTGCTGTCTACAGCCCTCTGTTAAGAGGGCCTTGCTTACTCACAAGTCACCGCTGCTGCCCCCAGACGCCTTGACCAATTTTTTTTTTTTTTTTAAGGTTTTATTTATTTGACAGAGAGAAAGACAGCCAGAGAGGGAACACAAGCAGGGGGAGCGGGAGAGGGAGAAGCAGGCTTCCCGCCGGGCAGGGAGCCCGATGTGGGCCTAGATCCCAGGACCCTGGGATCATGACCTGAGCTGAAGGCAGACGCTTAACTGACTGAGCCACCCAGGCGCCCTTGACCAATGTTTACATAGAGGAGCCGAACTTCTTGCATGAGTTTCACGGTCAAACCATAAAATCTTAGACCTTGAAGCCACTGGGGACGCCTGGGTGGCTCAGTCGTTAAGCATCTGCCTTCAGCTCAGGTCATGATCCTGGAATCCTGGGATCGAGCCCCGCGTCATCGTTGGGCTCCCTGCTCAGCGGGGAGCCTGCTTCTCCCTCTCCCTCTCTCCCTTTGCCCTTCTCTCCCCCCGCTCTCTCTCTCTCTCAAATGAATACCTAAAATTTATTTTAAAAAAAAGAACCTGAAGCCACTGAACCCCAACCCCCCATCAGTGGAAGAGCCCCTTTCTCACCATCCTTGACCACTCCCTCGGCATCAGTTTGAGCACATCCTGACACTGCCTGCCCTTGGGAGCTGCAAAGCTGCTTCCCTTTGGGTTCTTGTCTTCAAGGAAATACTGTGAGAAAACCCAGACATAAACTGGTTGCTACGGATGCAGCCGAAATGTCAGAATGAGTGTACCCCTGAACTCCACGAGTCCGTGGTGGTGGATGCACTACACACTGTGGGCAGTACCCACAAGTACCATTGTGGTCTCATCATCCTCGGGGCTCAGTTCCAGACCGTCCTCCACCACCTTATGCAGGGTGCTGTAATGTTGCTGGCTTTGGTGAAAAGAATGGAGCTCGGAAGCCGCCTCCCAGGCTGCAAAGGTGGGCATGGGGAAGACTTCTGGCCTCTTGTTTTCAAAAAAGCATTTCAGGTTTCTCTCACTCAGCTTCTTGGCATACTCCAGGAATGTATTTTCCAACTGCTCCTTCTCCTTTTGTGCGTACGTCTTCCAAAAACTCAGCTGAAGGTAGCTAACTTTAGATCGGCAGCGAGCGTAACATGTGGTGAGCAGAGAGAAGAAAGATGCTGAACAAATCAGGCACCATCCTAGAATCTTAGAAAGAAAGAAACATTGAGGACGTGCAAAAGCAAAGCCACTTCCCAGGGGGCGGAGGTGGTGTTACTGGTAAGTGTATGGCTAAATTAATACCACAGTCATTGCCATGTCTCAGTGGAAATCCTTCATGTTAATTTTTTAACAATACTTTTTTAACAGTCAAAGTAAATGTGGGTTTATCTAATCCCTATCATCCATCCCACCCACCATTGCTGGTATGCAAAGAAATAACCAGAAGGCAGACAAATGGAAAAGAGCAAAAATATAAATTATCCAAGAATCAGGTAAACCAAGCCCTCAAATAGTATTAGTTATTAAAGGAAAGAATTCCGTGCATGAGTGAATGTGATTATCGGAGCAAATGAACATTTTCTCAGCCAAGAGTTTTCAGGCATTGATAAATACATATTCGTGGCTAGTGACTGATTTTTCCATGTTACGTTGTTTGCAGAGAACAACGGACCCTCTCTGAGAAAAATTCCATTACTCATCATCCATCATTAAGTGAGAGAGACATAATAGAATGGGGAAACTGAAGCTAGAAAAATTGAACGGCCGCAGAAAAGCCAAGAAAAAAAAAAAAAAGAGTCATTCTAAACCTTCAGGATAATTGGTTCAGAATTTTGGTAATTAGAAAAAAAAAAATTCCTTTTTGAGTACAAACTGGTTCAACTGGCATTTTTTTTCCCTGAATTTTAAAAGCAGAACTCTAAATAGCTCAACTGGCCTTCTAAACTTTCTTGTTGTTCTTAATTATATTTGTCACAATTAGAATTAATTTCCTATTTGGGCAACTAACAGAGCCCTTTCACAGTTTCTCTTGACATTTTCATTAAATGACTCTTAGTATTTCTCAGCAAATGGGCCTATTTGAAAATAGAAGCAATAATCTGCAAATGAACCCATTCAGACCATAACAGAACTACAAACAAGCCCTGATGCTTTAAACCGGGAGTTCCCACCCTCCGGCTCAGACTATGGTGTCATTGTGAAGGCCTCGGACTCCACATGAATGCCAACTCTGGACTGGCCCTAGGTGGCTTTAAATCTCAACCTTCCCCTCCCTGTGGGTGTTCTCATTTCCTATGGGTGCCTCACTTCCTCAATTGTAAAATGGGGGTTACCCACCTCAGAGGGGAATCTGGGGGGTTAAAATAAGACAATGTAGACATACATACGCCTTCAGGAAGTGTTAGCTAGTATCACATGCTGCTATTTTTCAAACGGATAGATGTTTATGTAAAAGCATTACTGAGCTCATGGTATCTTTCTGACATGATTTGTGAATGAGGCACAGCTCCTATCGTATGAAAGTCCTCATAGTTACCTTGAGTCACTTGTGGTTGGCTACTTCAGATCTTCCTCTTCTCTTCATCGCCTCCCTTCCTCTTTCCACACAGCCGGGCCTCCTCTAGGCCAGTAGGCCATCTCACCTCAGTATCATGAGCCAATTCTGCTTGAGTTACACTATTTGATCAACTACAGACACTTCCTCCCATGTCGCATCCTAGCATCACCTTGCTCTCACCTGAGTGCTGAGCACTGAGCCCTTTTGTTCTTCCCCAATTCATAGTACCCAGAACCTAACTAGACATGGTGGATGCTCCCACCCCAGCCCTCAATATGTTCCATTGTGCATGACTCCACCCACCCCCCCAAACCCTGGCAGTTTTCTCATTAACTTAGAACACTTACTCTGCGTCAGCCCCTGTATGCCCATGTATGTCCATCATCTCTACACCTTCCAGCAACCCCCCAAGGGAGGTGTTATTAGTCCCAACTATGAGGAAACAGGGGCTCGGAGGGGTCAAACCATGAGCTCGGGGTCACAGAGCTGGTAGGTGGTAGAATCAGGATTCAAACCCAAGGCTGGCCAACTCTAAGACCAAGCTCTGGCCACTAGTCCATGCGACTTCCTTAAGAATAGAGAGCCACCTGGCTGGATTTCTTGTTTCTTTGCCCCACCCATGGCTGGGGCACTTTTTCCACCCCCACCCACATACCCAACTATTGATCTGGACTGTTTGTTGCTCCTGAACCACTGTGGTCAGCACCTGCCACTGACACAGCTCTCCTTGTCCACATCCCACACGCATCATCCCCTAGAAATCAGCCCCAGGTCCTTCTCATTCTGCTGTTAAGTAAACAGGTGGTGTGCCCAGGCTAAGCGATGACAGGATATGCATGATTTCCTTATGCCTGTGTCTGGAGAAGAAAAGCTCACAAGTGGTAAGTGTTTGGATCTGGTGCTAACCGAATAGAGTCTGGTGCCTGAGGACATAAATCATAAATCACTCATTGTATCATAACATTCGGAATTAATACTTTCCTTCAACAAAAGGAGGAAGACAGTGGGATCCTGGCATGTTTTCATTAAGGATGTGCTTTATGCATTAAACAAAGGATTTTGTCGGGGGGCATTTTTAGGCTCATCAGTTTATGTAAAAAGTACGGTGTGACTCTACCTCCAACCAGCTTTGGAAAGTATGATTTTACTTATTTATTTTGGGGGGGGAAGTATGATTTTAAAACCAGACTGCCCTGATGTGTTGTCGAAAAGGCAAGTCCTTGTTGAAAAGGTAAAATTATCTTCCTTTCAGTGCCTTTCTTCTGAAACCAATGGCATTCCTGACAAATTGCGAATCTGTTTATCTACTCTGATTAGCTGTTTTGGTTTGGGGATTGTGACCCTACGACTCAGCAGGAGGAATTCAGTCTTTTCCTGAGGTCAGGGCTAGGCTTCACATCTGGAGTTGTGCTCAGGTTCCTGGAAGGATGACAAGCCACTTCCCTGTGTCAGTTAAGTAAAGCTACAGTTCAGCTTCTTTAGCTGTAAAGAGCACAAAGAGCAGAGGACGTAACTTCCCTAGAGAATATGGTCCCTTTTCACTAACGGCTATTTAAAGACTGGTGATGCCCACTTTACCAGGAAATTTTTCTCAATCTTGACAATATTTATACACAGAGAAAACAGTGGCCAGAAATCATTTGAGGGAATCTCTACACTAATTATATTACGTGCCGCTTTGAAAAACATCCGCTCCTTTGGTTCAGCTGAATTTTAATAGATGAATGCTCTCTGCGTGTGTTTTTCTGAGAAACCAGTTTGAAAATAAATAATTGATAGGAGGCAGTAATTTCTAATTACAGCTGTGCCATTAACACTCAATTATGAGTTAGTGTCATGCATTATTTACCAAGTCAACCCAGAGAGATTGTTTTAAAAGCACTTAAGTATTTACATATGCATAACCCAGAGGATATTTTCTTTTCGGAAGTGGAAAAGACAATCCAGTCAGCAATTTTACTGAGCCACCAACCTCTAAAAAAGCTTTTCCTGAGATTGTCTCCACGCTGCATCGTGTTCCAATTTTCCTTTAGTTTCAAAGTGTCCTAGCAGGATGCAGACTCAGCTCTGCCTGAAAGGAGTACCCGAGAGAATCCTTCAAGCTCCTCCTGGGAGAGAAAGACGAGTTTGTCCTTCCTTACCTGAGACTGGGCTTGAAGGGACAGCTTCACTTCTTCATTGTCCGCGGGTGTCATGCTGGTTTTGCCACAAGAGACTTTGTGAAGTTCATCCCGGCACTCTTGGGGCTTGCCCTGGCAAATCAGTCCCACGAGTCTTGAACTTTTGGTCCCACTCATGGCACATTCGTAAAAAGTCCCATTGAGCAGAGCCACAGAAAGCCACATCATCGGAGCCACCAGGGAACTCAGAGTGATCTGACCGAGGACATAGAAAAAGCGGCAACTGTGGCCTTTGGGGAAGATTTTCCTGGGATTCACACAGCAGCCTGTGAAGAGCCTCCAAGACTTGCCGTTCAGGAAGAATCCCAGGATCAGTAACACCCAAGCAGGAGCGAAGAGGAAAACCAGCCCATAGACCACATTCTCGGTGCTGCAGGGACACTTAAAAGCCACCAGGGAAAAGAGACGCTCACTCCCCACGGTCAGCAGAGCCATGAAGCTGTACCCAATAACAGTTTTCTGGTTGAGGAAGAATTTTAAAATCCCCTGAAAAGCATCCATGCTGAAGAGACACCAAGGGAAAAGGCTTTGCCCTTATTTATTGTCTGAGCCGCTGTGGCAGTGGCCGAGGGTGGAGCTCTTTCTTCTTTAGAAACAACAGTACTCCTTCTTCGGACTGAATTCAGCCAGATAAGGAAACAATGTCATTCCCCAGGAATGAGTATTTCCCAACCATGTTCAGATAATGCCTCCTACTGGTGGGTTTTGCGCCAGGGAACCGGGGCCAAAACACTGAGAATCAGAGTAAATTCAAAGTGCACCACTTCTATTTTATATTATTTTCACGCTGCTTGGTTCTCAATCATAGATAGCAATAAGAGTCTAGAAATTTTCCAGCCAGAGGAATCAACGTGAGCAGAAACAGGTTTCAGCCAATTCACTGGGAGCCAAGTCACGTCTCCAAGCCGGGAGTCTCGTGATGGCTTTTCCCTTCCTGCTTAAGACCTGCTACTTTGGCTACTTTGCCTTAAGATCTGAAAGATTCATTTTACATCCTCTTAAACTGGCTAGTGTCAGAGACTTGAGCCAAATTTTAGGATTTGGGCTATTCAAAATTTAGATGGAAAAGTTTAGGGAACATTTGAGTTTTGAATGAAAGACAAAATGAGAAGGGTCCCCGTCGCTTCTTTCCCAGGCGATCATAGCAACCTCTCGATTAGTATCTCTGCCTTTGACCTCAAGCCCACCCCTACCCTCAACCCTAATGATGACAAATATTTTAATTTCTTACCCTCCTGAACAATATTTATTTTTGAAAACGATTTTTCGAGAAATAATGCTTAACTCTGTTTCATAAAGCATATTGTTTTCACAGAAAACTAGTCCCTTAGGATATTCCACAAAAATGAAAGGGTTTAAGACTTATACAGGTCATAGGGTCAGTACATTTCAAAGCTGAGTGTGAACCCAGACTCCCTGACTACAAACTCCACATGCTTAACCATCGTGCTGCACTGACTGGAACAGAGTAATTGGGTGCTCTGCTAATAGATATCTGCTCTAGACCAAGTTTTAGTAGAATTTTTTTTCCCTCTTTATTAGGTTGCCTTTAAGATGTACTTGGGGATTACACCAAGTGTGACCTGTAACAATTCAAGCAGGACTGAATTTTCCCTGATCCTAGACAAGAATCCGCTGGTGGAGTTTGTGGAAGAGCTCCCCGCCGGGCGATCCTCTCTGTGCTACTGCAATTTACTCTGTGGGATTATCAGAGGTGCCCTGGAAATGGTAAAGCACGTATTTCATTTTGCCAGGTGTATTTGTTAGCTAGGGCTGTGTAGCAAATGACCCCCCAAATACAACTGCTTAAAACAGCAAACACTTATTATCTCACACAGTTTCTAAGAATCAGAAATCAAAACAACAAATTCTTACTATCTCACACAGTTTCTAAGAGTCAGAAATCTGCGAAGAGTTTTGCTGAGAGCACTTAGCTCTTGTGACTAGGAGCCTTTCAGAGCTTAATACCGGCACAGTCCCGCCGTTGGTCAGGGCCGCCGTGGTGAAGACTTGACGCAGGCTAGAAAATCCACCTCCAGGCTTACTCACGTGACCTCAGCGCCTGGCTGGTGGCTAGAGGCTTCATGAAATTCCTTGCCACATAAGCCTCTTGGTAGGTCCGGTCCCAACAGGTGCTGCCAACCCTGGTACAGAGTGGGAGGGTGCTACCTGCCGGTGTGACGAGCAGGAGGCGGAGATCATTGCAGTCTGTTTTGGAGGCTGGCTCCCACACCTGAGTTATTCATTGACTTAACAAAGGCAGTGATCAGCATCTGTTAAAAGGCAGTGAGCACACAAGATGAGTAAGACATAGTCACTGCCCTTTAAGAGTTTCTGTCCAGTAGAGAAGTCAGATGTGTGAAGAAGTGTGGATAATGGCTATGGGAGGAGCTGGGTTGGGTTGGGTGGTGAGGCAGGGAAGACTTCCTAGAGAAACTCTGGGCTGGCATGTGAAGGATAAATAGGAGTTAGGGGAAGCAAGGCTTTAGGGTGAGGGGAGCAGGGCAAAAGAATATTCCCGGTAAAAGCAGCATGTCCAAAGGCACAAAAAGAATGTTTCAGTAGAGGAACAAGGAACTTGAATGAGTTCAGTGTGGGTGACATGTAGACTGAGAGAAATACTGTCATGAAAAAGGAGGGTTCACTTCTTTACAGAGGCCTGATTTTTTTTTTTTTTTTACCTATCTTAATGCAAAGACTACATTTTATCTGTCTCCCATAATGTACAGCATTGACACATAGTAGACTGAATATATATGTTGAATAAAAGAAAGAGAATGATCTGAAATTTTTCCAGTTCTAGGGTAAGGAGAAGAGGTTTCCATAGATTGGGTACGTGGATAGCTTCCCTGTGATTCAGCCTCTTGGGGAGGAGCCCATCCTGCTTGAAAGTTTTCCAATCTCATTACAAAGGTTCTTTGTCCAGGTCATGAACTTGCCATATTTCACTTTTTGGGACCTGACTGTAAGAAAATTGGGGATACCATCTTCCAGTCTTTAACATTGCTGTCCATCAGGAAGAGAAGGAAACTAGGAAGGTGAATGATCTTCCCTGTTCCTCTAATCTGGGATACAGACACTGTGACCCCTCCTCCTAGGGAGGTTCTCCAAGTTACGGTTTAGTTTTCTGTACTGGGGAAGTCAGTGATGTCAACTCCTCCAAAAGAACTTCCTGGTCCTATTTCTGAATTGAGACTTGAATGTTGTAGCACTTCAGGGTCACGACTTCTTAGAAACCTGGCTTGAGTTGTTCATAGACCTGCAAGAATCTCCTCGGCCGGCCGTCCTCTGGGCCAGCATGTTCCTCTCCCCAACCTCCCAGAAGTAACCTTCGTTCTCAGTGTTCCTTTTCGCTCTCTGGCCTTAACTTCATAGTCGCATTTCTCCCCTTGACTATTACTTGTCTCTTTTCGCTCCCCCTATTCCTCGTGGGGGGTGCTCTTTGAGAGCTGTTTTCACAGTCCTTTATAACTCCCCCCAGAGGCCTGATTTTTAAAAAGTGGCAGGGGGCATTCATATGACCCAAGCTTGGGAATTTAGACTTTTGTAATGAAAGCAGCAGAGACCCGGTATAGGTTGATAAACAAGGGAATGATATTTTGAAATTTGTGGTTTAGGAATTTCATTCCTTTGTCGTCAAAGTGAAAGTATACATCGTACAGGGTACGCTGCTGAAGGGAAGAAGAGGGCAGTTGGGAAGCTGTGATGGTAACCTCAAGAAAAAACAGAATAGGGGCGCCTGGGTGGCTCAGTTGGTTAAGCGACTGCCTTCGGCTCCGGTCATGATCTCAGGGTCCTGGGATCGAGCCCCGCATTGGGCTCCCTGCTCTGCGGGAAGCCTGCTTCTCCCTCTCCCACTCCCCCTGCTTGTGTTCCCTCTCTCGCTGTCTCTCTCTGTGTCAAATAAATAAATAAAGTCTTTAATAAAGCCCTGACAATAGGAGTGGAGGGGAGAAGACCGATTTGAACAACATTAAGAAGGCAGATTAGTAAGTAATTAGACTGAAGACTAGGTTATCAGTTGACTGAAAGAGACAAGATTGGGAAAAGGAGTCAGGAATTATTCAGGGTTCTGAGCAACCTGTAAGGATGGTTGCACTGTTAACCAAGAGAGTTCAAACCAGGGAGGGGTACAGTGGGGGTTAGGAGAGACAACATGAGAAGTTGGGAGGTTCTGGAGTGGAGGTGTCCACACAGGCAAGTGATGATATCCAATAAGCAGTTGTACACATGTCTGAAAGCCACAGAGAGATGTGGACCGAAGAGGCATTGGAACTGTCAAAAGATCGGTCGGAGGTGTGTAGAGGAAGAAGGAAAAGGAGTCACGGGCAGAACCCTAGGAAGCAATAACATGTACTGAGTAAGTTGAAGAGAGAATACAAAGGCTGCAAAGGATACCAAGAAGGAGGAATCAGAGGTGGGGAAAATACCAGGACAGAATGGAGTCAGAAACAAATGAGGAGAATATTTCAAGAAGAGGGAGTGATTCACAAGGTCAAGGACAGCAGAGAAGCTTAAGTAAAACAAGACCTGAAAAATAGTCAAAACACGTAGGGACTGAAAAGTCAGGAAGGACCTTAGTAAAAGCTGGTTTGGGAAAGCGAAGGAAGAAGAAGACAATCTGTCAAAGACTGTCGAGCCAAGGGCAGCTTAGAAAAAAATAATAGTCCACAAAGTGTCATTTTTCCAGAAGCTTAGCTATTAAGAGTGCCGGGACCAGAGAGTCCCCAAAGACTAAACGTGTGTCGACCTACACAATAATGAGGCATTCATGTAATTTTTGATTATTGGTGATGATTAGAGGAAGGATATAATAACAGATAATCCAGAAGAATAAAACAATCAAAATAATGTATTATTCACACAGATCTTCCATGCTTCTATCCTACCAATTTTTTAAAGGTTTGTCCTATCCAGAAATTAAGAAAAGGGAAGAGAAAGGTTCTGGGAGCTTATAAGCAAAGGGATGAACCATAAAACAAAGGCAAAAATAGGATGAGGAATTCTCCAGCTTTCACAGATAACAGTTGATTCTAGTGCTATATGACAAACAGGTACCAGACCTCATATGGCCTCAAATATATATCCAAATAGCTTCAGTGTAGCTTCCTTGCTTATTTCACTTGACCTGCTATTAAATTTTGACAAAGACAAAAATGATCTCATGGGGAGCAATGAGGGTGAATCTAGCTTCTATATTTCAATTGCCTACTAGACCCAGGCTTTTCCATTTATTATTTGCTTTTACCAACCAAGTACTTTTGCTTAGTTATCTTATTTATCCCAATGACTTAAAATAGCTGAATGGACACTCTGTTGAGGGTAGTAGGTCAGCAATATGCTGCCGTTATGTGAATACATTTTAATGAACAGAGAAGTAAGCCCTGTGGGATTACTTCAATGTGTGGGAAGTGGCAAATGCTTTACAGTGGAAAAGAAGGGCTGGATATCAAATATTCATGTCTGTAATTTCAATCTTTAATTTTATATTTATAATTTATTTAGCTGATACTTTTTCAAAGCTCTTAAAGCCATAAGTGATTGCTCAATGTTGTTAGGACAAGTGATTATGTTATTTAGCTGATGATAGAATGACTGAACGCAAGTCAGTTGGAAAGAAATCGTTTGAGAATCCATTTATCCTTGGAAGTTCTGCTTGACAAGGCACATTGGCTCAAAGCTATCTTTGAGTTGGGAATTTGTGTTCTTCTTGAGATGGACCCATAGTTCAGCTGTGCACTGTGAGCAAGAGTGGGCCCATATCTCTGGGCTTGCCCCACAATCATCCGGGTTGGGCCTGGCCTGGCGTACCCTTCTCTTTGCAGACTCACACCACAGAGCTGACACACAGCCAGACCATCTCTGGAGGACACACAATAAACGGCCCTTCATCCACAGAGCAAGCTCTTTTTTATCATCCCGTAAGGAAAGTCAGCCCCTTATAGGGTAAATAGAGCTGAAAACAGAGAAAAATGTAGAGGTTTTTTTTTTAAAACCTAAATGACACAAGCCTGTTTCTTTTTCCTTTCCTAGATTCATTTGGCTGCTGATGTTACATTCTTGCAAGACAGACTGAAAGGCGACCGTGTGACAGAAATAGGAATAACATTTCTGAGAAAGCTAGATGAGAAAAAATACAGACGGAAAAAATGAAGCATTGCATGCACAATGCCACAGGGGGGCCAACTGAGGATTAATATTATCTAAACATACAGAGCCATAGAAATTTTGAATTGTTTAATAATAGCATGGGCTTTAAAAGGCTTATATATCAGCCAGAAATTTGAAGTGCAGGGCACTAGGTTTTAAAGATTTTTTTTCTTTGCTGATAAATTATACATTTTCAATCTTATGTCCATTAGATTTCATATACAAATAACTCCTTATAAGATAGCATATATGAATTCACATATCATATAGCCCATCCTAACAGAGTCCAGTGATTTCATTTACTTATGGTAATGGAAAAAAAAAAAAGCATACAAACTACACAGTTGGTGTATCCATCCATTCTCATTGGAAAAAATAGATAAATGATACAATATAGAGTTCACGATATAGAGACAATTTCTAGATACTGTATATTGCATTCTCTATAGAAACAGTGCCATTTATAACACTTTTCCATATTTTTGAGTAACTATGGGTATGATTTCTTTCATATATTGGCTTGGTTTGTCACTTCAGCCTCCTGAAGCTGCTCTCTCTTGATTTATAATTACCAAGGCAAGCTATTTATTTGCATGCTAATTCTGAAATATTTTTAAGGAGCATTTAGTTTTAATTCATGTAACTTTTAGATAGTATTAACCAAATGTCTTCCTATTCTCATGAAACATTGCTGATGGTCAGGCCAGGAAACCTCTAAAATGAGAGGTAAATAATGTTTTTTGAAAATACTTTCTTACCCCAAAGCTTATTCAGTTAGAATTTTTGCTGTCATTTTTATCCCCCCAAAAACCTTACAAAGCATGCTTTGACTGTGGCCAGAACATATTTAAAATTCAAAATGTACTGGATTCAATAAACAATAATCTTTACCAGACCATCAGCATACGCAGGAAGCTTCTATGCAGTCCAGAATCTGCTGGGCTCTGCAGAGAACTGAAATTCCAAGTAAGTTACAATTAGTGTGGGTCCATCAGTTAAAACTGGTGTAAATGATATGATCGTGGTAGACCTCAACTAGGACTCAGGAGCCTAAAGACACAGTCCCAGGTCTGTTTCTAGTGGATTCAGCTGATCCTAACTGGTGGCTCAATCTTGGACAAGGCATGTAATCTCTCAAGTGCGCTCTCTCTCTCATGTATAAAATGGCACAATTGAAAAAAAATAAAAATTTAAAAATTTAAAAAAATTTAAAAAGGCACAACTGAACATGGTATCTTAAATTATATAAAAGAGTTTAAATGACATCAAAAAACACTGAACTTCCACATTTTTTGATTTTGAAGACTATGAGGAAATGGTTTGTTCCCTACCCATGCAGCTGTCTCTTCAAAAGGGCATCGAGGTCAGTATTAAGGACCAAATAGGGTCACTGGGGCAGCTGCAGCAACCATGGGAGGAACTTTAAGCCAGTTCCACAGAAGACCAGGTAGAATCGGGAAAATGAATATTACCTGACATCAGAAGGGACATCACAATGCCATGTATTTTAAACTGATGCCTCCAGAAGAATGTTTGCCTGCCATCCATCCCAAAGCTTCTTTTAGGGATGTTTCCATCTTCTGTTCTGTTTCCTCTTTGCCTACACTCACCCCTCCAGGAACGCCAAATACTCATGTCTAAGGGCCTCCCTCTTAAATCAGTACCCAACTAGCCCTCTTGTAAATGTTCCATGCTCTGGAGTATTCTCTTACCTGACTACACCTTGCTCTCCTGTCTGTCCCAACCCAGCCATCCAACTGCCTTGGCCGGCTGTCTTCATGGCCCATCCACCTGAAGACAGCTGACGATGCGGAATGTCAGAACCAGTGATGGCTTCAGGATAAGGCTCATTCCCCATCCTTTTAGTCCCCCCCCTCACCTTAGAGAGGGAGACCAGTCTTTTGGATTGAATTTGTGGTATGGACAGTGACCTACTTAACCAAGAGAGAAGACTGTTTGTGCAGTAGTTCCCCCTTATCCACAGGGGATATGTTCCAAAACCCCCAGTGGATGCCTGAAGCCACGAATAGTACTGAACCCTATATATACTATGTTTTTCCTATATATATACGTACCTCTGATAAAGGTATGTTGTTTAATAGGTTCAATTTTTAAATTTAAATGAATGAAAATTAAATTAAAAGTTCATTTCCTCAGTCACACTAGTCACATTTTAAGTGTTCCGCATGCAGGCCATATGGGCTAGCGACTACTCTAATGTACAGCACAGGTCTGTAATTCCCAGTCAAAGATCCACGGGGTCTCCTTGACCTTGGACACCAAGAACTAATGGGGAGGATCCAGGTTAATAGAGAGGGAGAAAGGAGACAGAAAGAAAAAGGTAAGAAAGACCATCAGAGATCAATGAAATGCTGAGTGGTGACCCATAAAAACAGAAAAGTTTCTGTGTAAAGGTTTCATACTAAAGGAAGGTTGCACACCATCCTCTGGATTCCAAGTGTATTTTCACCCCCTTTGTGTGAGGCTGAGTCTTTCATTAGAAAGTTTCATTAGAAAGAAATAAAAGCCTTGTGGAAGTTGCACAGTGTAAATACAGAGTTTTTATTTCATAAAAGTCTTCCCTCTGAACCCCAAATCTTGATCAAAGCAGAGATTTTTATTGTCTTGGCAAAGCCAAAAGGGAAGAAAAGTTTGGGGCAGAGAGAGAGTTTATTGCTGTTCAAAAGACATCACCAGATTCCTATCTGAGCTGTTTACTGGTGAGACCTGCTGTGGGTGCCTATTCACTGTTTGAGTTGCCAGGAATCAGAAATACTTCCCTCAGCAGTCCTCATACTTGTTTATTGTCTTCTCAAAGCTCTTAGGTTCATCCAGTCATTATTAGAAGCCTGGCTCTCTTTAGCAGTTGGAATGGACTATTATGAATAAGTGGAAAGTTCCCTTTTCTCTCTGTTTATGAAGGACCAAAGTAGAAATATGGAAAACCAGATGCATGAAGTGAGACAATGACATTAAAACTCTTGTAACCAAAGAGGCCACTTTAATCAAGTTCTGCTAAATGTTAACTTTTGTAAACGTTCAAAGAGATGATATTATTCATTGTTAAGGGTCTGTCAGTTGGGACGGTAGACTCTGAGTGGTTGTTATATTTCACAGCCTCCTCCATCAGCTATGGAGGCTAATTAATTTCTCCTCAGTAACACCAAAGTCCATGATAGGTACCGCCCCAGCCATAGAAACTTGGTAGGACGAGCATTTTCTTCTTTGAAAAGAGAGCCAAGCGGGGGGGGGGGGAGGGGGGGGGGCGCCTGGGTGGTTCAGTCGTTAAGCGTCTTCCTTCGGCTCAGGTCATGATCTCAGGGTCCTGGGATCTGAGCCCCGCATCGGGCTCCCTGCTCAGTGCAGAGCCTGCTTCTCCCTCTCCTTCTGCCCCTCCCCCTGCTCGTTCTCTGTCGCTCACTCTCTCTCTCTCAAATAAATAAAGTCTTTAAAAAAAAAAAAAGGAGAGCAAAACTTTGTTTATCTTGCTTGGTTGCATATTTAAAAAAAAAAAAAATCTGTCCAGTTGTTGTACTTCTTCATTCTGGTAAACCTTCCAGAACTTTAGCTGGACATGACCAGTGGTTGACCAAGAGTGGTTCCGGCAAATAAGCAGACAGAAGGAAAGGGGATGTGGCAGTCTAGTGCACCAGTCTATAATCTGAGAAGGAGACACCCAGTTTTTACTCAATCCGCCATAGTCGCCTTAGAGCTGAGACCAAGGCATAGCCACAGCGATCATTAACAAAACTGTCTTTCTCAAGTGTTTCACTAAGAAAGGAGGCGCTGAACAAAACGCATCAATGGTTGGAAATCCTTCACTAAAAACATAAGAAAGAAATGTCCTAGGACAATTCTTTTTTCCCACTCCAACTCCAACTCCGTATTTCCCAATTAAATCTTTCTTTGTTTTTCTTCCTTCAGTTTCTTTTGTCTTCCATTTTTTCTTCTAGGAGCTCTGTTACCACTACATATGCTTCTTCTTCTTTTTCCCAAAGATTCTTCCTGCAACTCCTTTACTTCATCCTTTATTCCCTCTTCCACTTCCTTTACTTTCATTATGCTTAATGTAATGGATATTTGCTGGCTGCCTATATCTCCACCAATAGAATGGCATTTTTTTCTGTTCAGCTGCCCACCATTTTATTAGGCAACCCATCCTTCAGGAAAGGTCATCTCTATCCCCTGCTCCATCGCTATCCCCTGGGCACAGTGGCTCTATCCCAGTTGAAAATCACCACTTTGCCAGTCAGAGCTAAGCCAGTCAGGACATGGCATTCCCCAGACCACAATCATTGCTGCTGACATAGAGCGAGGACAAGGATGAATGGACTGAAAGAACAAAAGTCTGCCTGTTACGTGAGCTAATAAATTTACTGCATTCTTTGAGCAAGTAGAGTTGTGTTTCTGTTATAGTAATGCAATGAAGTTCACTGCATGATAAACAGGTGAAAGGTCTAGATAATTTGCAACGTATTGGAGAATACCAAAGAGAATAAACTTTATTATTACATTTTTCGTATGGTTGAATGCTCAATGAAATAAATTTGGCTTTACAATAGCTCTCCTCCTCACAAAAAGGAAAAGGTCACAGAAGAGAGAGACGAAAAACCATGCAGGATAGTGTACATACACCCAGCACACAAGTCCCAGAAAAGGGAGACGCCATAGGGAGAAGATATTTTGAATCAGCGGTAGCTCTTTAAAAACAAACAAAACTCATACATTTCAGGTACTTCAGCTATTTTTACTGGAAACTTAAATCCCATCAGGAATCACCCAGGGATTCCAAAGTCAGAACAATCCTGATTTCTGGAGCCTCCCAGTGGCCTAAATCTTCCAAGCCAGCAGACTACTTAGTGACTTGGTGTTTCCGAGCAGTGTGTGAATCACGTAGATTTTAATGGCTTAAAATAGGAAAGGCTAATTCCCTGTGGTCTGTGTATACCAAACAATAGAAGCACCTGGAAATGCTGCTTTCTTGGTTTTGGATTCAATTAAGATTTTTATCTGGTGCTAGGCACATCCATTATGTGGTGTGTCACTTAATTTTCATAACAATCTGCGAGGCATTAGGTGGGTAACAAAGACAAAGAGATGGATATGAAACTACAAAGGAGCTAAATTTACCCGTGCTTTAAGTGCATTAAGACCAGGCTGGTGAGTGGAGGGAGGGGGCAATGCTTGTCTCCTGTCTCCCTTGAGAGGCTGAGTGAGGGACCACAAGAAGAGGAGGTAGCTTGGAAAGAAGCTAATAAGCTGTGAATATTTTGAGTTTGAGGAGCCTTTGAAATATCCAAAAAACCTCAGAAGGTCAGAAGAGAGGCCTGGACTGAAGATGGGCTTTGGAGTCATCGATACATGGATAATAGGAGAAGCAGTGGATGTGGATGGCAGCATCTGTGGAGAGCATGGACTTCAGGAAATACAAGGAACAAAGAATCTTGACAAATACTACCATTCAAGAGGCAGCAGGGAAAGAAGAGCATAGGTGAGGTTGACCTTTCCATCACAGACAGAGATGGGAGAACCTGGTGACCTGAAAGCTAAGAGAGTCTCAAGGAGAACAGAGTGGTCAGAGGCATTAGATGCCACAGAAAAGCCAAGAAAGGCCAGGGAAGGGACATTGGGTTTGATAATGCAAGACATTTGAAGATACAGGAGAGAGGGAATGACTGAGGAAGCAAGGCTCTGGGGACGTAGAAGGGGTCAGGATCCAGATCAAAAAAGTTTGACTCTGAACGGCACAGACTACCCCATCCCCTGAGAAAAGAGCAAAGATGGTGAGATGGGGCATGGTTGGGGATGTGATGGGAGATGTTAGGGGAAGACCTTGACAGAGCTCATGACCTGTGGCCTCAACCTTCCCTGTGAGGCAGGGTCTTTGTGGAAATGGAGGTGGAGGGTAGGCGGATGAGGATACCTTCTACTGTAGGCCATGGCTCATGCTCTCCCACTCACACCCAGAAATAGAAAACAGCCCAGCCTTCGGGTTAAGTGATCATACACATGCCTGTGGAGAAAATATAGATCACCGTTACTTCTGGGCTCCGATGAACGATTCTCCACCCACACCCCAACACAAGGGGGATAACATTCTGACGGGAGGCGCTTACCTGAGACTCTACCTGGATCACAAACAGGATTTCCTTTGTCTCCAAAGGAAAGAGAGAGATTTGGGTGCAGGCCCTCTTAGAGAGCTCTTCCATGCAGCAAATGGATTTGTGGCTTCCAAGTTGTCCCCGCTACTCCTGTGTTCTGAAAGTGCCGATGGTACACACTGAGAAAAGACCCCTCAAGGAAACCACAGAAAGTCCCAGAACCGGACTACCAAGACTTGTCAGGCGATTTTCCCAAATATGTACAAGAAATGACATCGTTTCCCTTTGGGAAAGATTTTCCAAGGGTTCATAGAGGATCTTGTGAAAAGCTAGCAAATGCCACTATTGGGGGAAAAGAATAAGACCACCCCAGGGAAAGCAGCACAAAAGCTGGAGCTAATAAGTAAAAATGTCCATAGACATATTTTTTACTGCTGCAGACTCTTAAAACCAACAGGAAGAAGCAAATCTCCTCCCCCACCGTCAGTAGCTCCTGACAAGTATAACCTGTGACTGTCTTTTGGCTGCCTAGGGCATGTCTGACAGTCAGGAAAAGCTCCAGGTCTAAACAATATACTTTTCAACCTCCTTGTGAGGTGAAAAATTGGCTTTTTAAGCTTTCCTGAACACCTGCTGGATGGAGTCCCTCATGAGGATGTGAAATCTAAATGAATGAATGGGCAGAAAGGAGGCCCAAAATCAATTGCTTGAGCTTAGACAACTCAAGAGGCAATTCTTTGCCAAGAATTCAATTGCTCCAGGCTCCATAGTTGATTAAGATGGTGTTTCTGTGCATGTACTGGGCCACCTGTCTCTTGGCAAATATTTGTACTCCATAATCTAAAGTTAAATATAGTTGAACTAAGTCTTGATGATATGTCTGGTAGCTACTTTTATAGGCAGAAATATTTGCAGCAGATTTGGCTTGGAGGCAGGGAGAGAGAGGTACAATAACTCAGAAAGTTCTTTTCAATTCTGGGATGGTGGACTTTATAGAAAAAGCTACAAAGATAAAAGTTTAGGACGAAACATGGTCTTGGAGATATCTAAAGTGTACTACTTTTTTACATTAATAAGGTTACTGAGACCTGAAAAGTGATAATGGTGTCACGAGAAAGACCTTAGGAAAGAGCAAATTGAATAAATAAATGCTAACATGTGGAATTGCTTATTCTGACAGACACAGGCATATTCGAGTTCCCACTACCTCATCGGGGATCTTACTCTGTCATGTATCCACATTCACCCTCCATTTGGCTCCTTTTCATAAGCCTAAAAATATACTCAAGACTCTACCGTCCTAGGGAAAAAAAAAATTTCTCTTAACACTGTTTCACTTCTTCTACTGGCAAACTTTAAGAAAATATGATGTAGAAAGAAAACGTTCTGTGGCCTGAATGTTTGCCCCCCGCCCCCAGATTTCATATGGTGAATCCCTAATTCCCAACGTGATGGTTTTTGGAGGTGGGACCTTTGGGATGTGATTGGGGTTAGATTAGGTCTTGAGGATGGGGCCCTCATCAGGGGATTAATGCTCTTAGAAAAAGAGAAAGAGACCCAAGATCTCTCTCTCCCTCCCTCCATGTGAGGCTACAACAGGACAGCCACCAATAAACCAAGGAGAGGGTCCTCACCAGACGGTGAATCTGCTAGCATCTTGATCTTGAACATCCCAGCCTCCAGAACTGTGAGAGATAAATGTCTGTTGTGTAAGCCACCAGATCTGTGGAGTTTAGGTACAGCAGCCCGAATTGCCTACGAAAGAGAGCCAGCTTTGAAAGTGTCTAATTCTATGTTAAAATGCTTGCCAGTGCTTACCTTAAATTTCTCTATCTTGACTCTTCTCTTGTATTTCAGCTGGCTATTGATTATAAGTCTCTCTCATTCCTCTCCAGTTCCTCTTCCTTCCCCAAATTTTGCTATATGCAGGCTCCATGGTTGGCACTTTGCTCGAGGTAGACATTCTCCCTGGATAGTACCACCTTACACAGAAAATCTCTCCTCTCTACCCTCTTCACCCATCTGCTGCTATTCTCTACTCCACCTACCTG